TCAGTGGATGCACCGGCTGGGATTATGCCTGGGACCACCCTTCTCTCTCCCACACCCCATGTACCTCACCCCGCAGCCCGGGGACCGAGCTCCTCCTGTGGCTGGTCACCTTCCCTTGCCGCAGACATGAGGCATTTCCGGCATTGGCTTGCCCTGCATGCTTCCCACTTGGGGCTTCCTGCCTGCAGCCCCGCTGCCTCCAGTCCCTCCCTGCTCTGGGCCTGCGGCCCTCCCCAGCCTGAGGTGCCTAGGGCAGTGTTTGTCCTTGAGCATAGGAGTTTGCGCATCCCTCTGAGTCTCCCAGGGCTCATCCGAGGAGACTGGAAGGGAAGTGATGGAGAGCAGGGCAGGGGTGGGGGCTGCCTCCTTCCGGCCTTTCCTTCCTCCTCCTCAGGGGGACCTGTGCAGAGGAGGGGGCAGGGGTGGCAGGCCAGAGTGCAGTGGCTAGTGGCTGCGTGCCGTGCACAAGCTGCTGCTGCCCCCTGCTGTCCTGAGTCTGCACTGCAGTGGTTCCGGGAGCCCGGCTCTCCAGAGGGGGCTGCAGGGCAGCGGGGGTGGGGTGGGGTACAGATCAGGGTCCACCCATCTGGTGGTTGCTGGCTCACATAGCCCTCCCCCTCCGAGCCACAGATGATGTCCTGCCGTGCACATTGCGGGGTGCTGGGACTGGAGGACACACTGCCCAGGGGCTGCATGGGGCCCCCATCTCCACTGCCACCCTTCCTCAGGCAAACTGGGACAGGCTCCTGAGCTTTCTGCAAGTCAGGGCCAGTGCTGGGAGCCAGTGCCCCAGAGTACGGCTAGTGGCTGAGAACCTGGGCACTGGACACCTGTGGAAGCCTGGGGAGAGCGAGGTTGCCCTGCATCCATTCCAGTGGATGAGGGGTGGGGGACCTGGGGATGCCGGCCAGGCCAACACAGACACAGGCAGGACGGAGGGCCACGGAGGAGGCGGAGGCTGATCCTGCCCATGGGGCTCTGGGAAAGGAGCAGGCAGACGAGGAGGGGCCCTTTAGGCCAGTCTTTAGGGAGAGAGTTTGACAGGCAATGCTGGGGGAGGCTTGGGAGGATGGAACAGCCCAGCAGACGCAAGGCCTGAGGGGGTCAGGGGTGCAGGCAGAAGTGGCCAAGACTTTGGCTGCACCCAGGACTTAGTGGACCACGTGGTGAGAGCCCGTGGGCTGTGTGGGCTGAGTGGCTGTGACACGGTGTCTCCTGGTCAGGGCTGGCTCCAAGGAGACGGCAGTGGTGCAACTGCAGGCAGACCAGCCAGGACACTGGGATGAGGAAGGAGGCCCGGGGGCTCGGGGTCTCCTTCCTCAGGTGGAAGCTGACCTTGGGCCAGCGTTGGCATGGGGGAAGGGCTAGCCAATATGTCTGTGGGCATTCGCCCCTGACTTGAACGGATGCAAGCCCCTCCTCGTGCCTAGGAGGCACTGCTCTCATGGGGCTGACGGGCGGAGATCCAGAGTGATCATCATTATGGGAGAAATAAGACAGGACCCTTGAAGAGGTCCGCTGAGAGCTGCAGGCAAGAAGCAAGCAGCCAGTGTCGCGAGGCACTGTGTGGAGCACTGACATCAGGGGCTGGGTGGTGTGGTGTGGTGGGCGGGGCCTGGGGCCACATGGGGACTTTCCTCCCCTCTGTGCAGTGGGAACCCCTGGAGGGCCAGGGCAGGGGATGGCGCCATCTGACTAGGACATGGCGATGGAGAAGAAATCTCAGGCGGGAAGGGCAGGGGGCCAGGGCGCTGCAGGAAGGTGGAGAAGTGGCAGCTGTACCTAAGAGGGAGAGCCAGTCGGACTCAGGGGGACTTGGAAGTGGCTATTGGAAGAGAGAAGGCGCAAGGGTCGAGTTCTAGGCCTGGGAGCCGATGGTGGCCTGTGTTTGAGTTGTGGGTTTTGGCTGATTTGAGTTTCTTTGACAGTGAAGTGCGAGTAGGTGGGCTGGTGGTCTTGCCACCGGCTCAAGGGGCAGAGGGTTGGTGAGGACGTCTTCACAGGGGTGTGTGAGGAGGCGAGATTTCTCTTGGATGCATCAAAGCCTTGGAGGGACATTTGGGGTGACGTCCTGGGCAGGAGGCTACAGATCCGAGGCACAGAAGAGGTGTAGCACAGGAGCCTGTGTGCCCACCCAGGAAACATGGGAGAACTTCAAGAGTGGCTCTAGTCAGGCTCAGAGCCTTGGCCTTCGCACATGCAAAGAGAAGCAGCCGGCTGGGTGGGGGTGTCTTGGCGGTCGCTGGGACGGTGGCTGCAGGGCAGGTGTGGAGTGGAAGCCACACTGCAGGTTCCGGGGAAACACAGGCAAGACGTGGGGAGGGGGAGAATGGGGGGGTGTGGTTTTCGCGGGAGCGGGGACAACCGATGACGTCTGCCGGGTGTGGAAAGCCCAGCGTCTGAGGAGGAGGGGCGCATGCCAGCGTTGAGTCCTGGGGTGGGGGTGAGCCCAGGACTCGTTGAGGGCCGCAGGGCCCGGCCCTGCTCTGTTGGGGACAAAAGCTCAGCCTGGCCTCCCAAGCCCCTTCCTCTGCTCTTCCACTCACAGGCACCTCACCGGTTACGGGGTGCTTTGCGAAGAAGGGTGGGTGTGGGGCTGCAGCGGGCGACGGCGCGGGATGCTGGTCTGCCCCACCTCCCGGAGTCTGCGTTGGGTTTCTTCGCCCTTCGAGCATCCGCTGCCCATCAGCGACCATGTCCCTGACGTTCCCAGTGCCTTTTTAAAAAATTTATTAAAAATGTACATACAGTAAAGCTCGCTCTGCGCTGGGCTTAAACTTCTAAAGAACATCGTGCGCTGGTACCAGTGAGTCACCTGGCCTGTGGGCGGAGCCTGCTGGACACCCCAGCAAACCCACGCGGCGCATGCAAATGAGGGGCGGGGTTGAGGCCTATGCCCCCCCCCCCCCCCCCCC